AAAAATTTAATAAAATCCATCTTTAACATCAAATAAACAATTAACTAAAAGTTTTTCAAATGGAAGAAGATTTTCCTAAAAATATTTCTGAAACATCACAATCTAATAAAACTTCTGGCAAACGTAAGGCAAGTGAAACCAATTTTTGAAGGGTCCTAGTAAATAAGGACGGACGTCCAAGAGATCCTGTCTGGGAAGACTTTGAAGTTGGTAAATCTGATGGTAAAGGTCATTATGGTGCTCAATGTCGATACTGTGTTAAGGGGAAATGGCAACGTAGAAGGCCTGCGGTTATGGAAAGTCATTTAGCTTTACATTGCAAAGGTGAAGTTCCTGATGATATAAGGCGTCATTATCTAATTCAGGTGGCGAAGCGAAATGACAAAGTAAAGGATGATGATAGTAATAATGAAAGTGCATCATCATCATCATCAATAAAGTCACATTCACGTTTATATTGTAAACCTGTATCAAATGAAAGAACTAACGAAATTAATAAAGCTTTGCTTAAAGCTTTTGTTTGTGCGGGAATTGCATTCTCTGTAATTGATAATCCATTTGTTCGTGATCTTCTTCATCTACTTGAGCCGGGGTAGGTTCCTCCTGGGAGAGTTACGTTGGGAGAACGAATACTTGATGAGGAAGTAGCTCGCGTAACAATACGAATGAATAGTTTACTTGACAAGACATACAATTTAATATTAGGTAAAAAAAATCTAAAAAAAAAATGTAAACCTTTTTTTAAATTTATAAATTTTAAAACTATATATTGTTTTTATTAGTGCTTGATGGATGGTCAACTCCTACAAATGAATCATTATATAATTTTATCGTTTCTACTTCTGATCGTAAAGAATATTTGTATTCAATCTTAGATTTTTCCGACGCAGTACAGTTGGGTGAATTTCTTGCCTCTAAAATTTCTAATGTCGTTGATAAAATTGGCTCTAGTAAATTTGTAGCTTGCGTAACAGATAATGGAAGTAATGTTCATGTTGCTCGTGAAATTATCACACATTATTACTCACATATTTGGAATATCAGATGTATCGCTCATGCATTAAATCTTATTGCAAGTAATATAGTAAAAATTAAACCTGTTAATAACATTTTAAAACAAGCAAATCAGATCGTTCAGTTTTTTAATAAGTCACACAGAGCATATCGACTTCTCCATAATGGTATTGAAAGCATGAAATTGGATGGCAGTGGCTTAGAAACATATGTTGAAACAAGATGGGCTTCTGTTTTTGGGACTATGTCCTCTATTGTAAGATTAAACCCCGTTTTTGATAAGGTATAGTATATTGATACTGATCTGCTTAATTATTTTTGAAATTTGGATTTGATCATGATTACATACTGTACAATAATGATAATTCAAAAAATATATATTTTTTTACATGTTATTTTTTTATTTATTTATTTTTTTTAGATTTTAGAAAATGATCGTGATGTAATTAAACTAGCTATTCTTTCACTATTAAACAATGATGATGATACATTTTATGCAAATTGTCGTCGAATTGCATCTATAATCAAACCTATTAAAGAAGCAATACACAATCTGGAATCGCGTACAGCAAATCTTGCTGATTGCTTCATTAGTATAGTAAAGTTGGCTGCAGCCATTAATAGGATTCCTTCAAATAATGCCTTTCGTGAATCAGCCATTAACGTATTTAACAAACGTTATACTGAATATGATATTGAACCGTATCTGCTTGCTTATTTACTTCATCCGGGTTATAGAGATAAACTAGTTTAAATTCATATTTGCATTGAATAGTTAAATTTTTCTCAGGTTTTATCAAAATGTGTGTAGCTAATTACTGAATTTGTTAAAGCTGTGTATCTCATAATCCAGTCATGTGGTAGGCTTGGATAATCAAACCAAACCGATCAGCGGTCAAATTTTTTTTTTATATATACGCGGTTGCTTTTCAATTTAAAAACCTGAATGAAATTTACAACGTTTCATACTGTATTAGTAACAGTAATTTATACTGTATATTTACTATTTACTTATTTATTATTGCATATTTTTAAATATATAGGTCTTGGCTTACATCAAGGAATGTTTCGACAAATTTCTGACATAGCCACCAAGTTCTATAAAAGTATGCATAATGAGGGTAATGAATGCCCAATACTTACTACACAGTAATTCATTATAAAAACTGGGATTATCCATTCGACTTTGGTTATGATTCGTCAAAAACACCCAGTTTATGGTGGGTGTAATAGAGGATGACTATCCCTATCTCCAGAATCTTGCAAGAGCTATTTTTGCAGTTGTACCGTCACAGGCAAGTTGTGAGCGTAATTTCTCTATTTTAAGATGGCTATATGGCACCTATCAAACACGTTTGTCTTCAGAAAGAGTAGAAAATATGGCTCAAATTCATTTTTTTTATATTTCTAACCTTAAAAATGAGCTTCAATATTATGGAAAAGAGTTGTCTGAAAGTGAACTACATAATAGCGCATTATCTCTAACTACTTATGCCGTTATGGAAAATAATGGTATGGTTTTAGAAGAATTGGAACAAAATGAAGATATTTTGGAATCTACTCAATCAAATCATAATCTTGAAATTGGCTTAATAGTTGATTTATCACATGTAAATTTTAGTGAAAAGGGTAATATCGAAGAATTTCCTCGTGCAATACAAGGAAGTGGTAATATGAAATTTTAATCCTACAATAATTTAGAATATGCATTTTATATTTTGATTATTGATGAGAATTGATTATAATTGTCAAATTTGTATTGCCATAATAAAAATATTATCATTTCTAATATATCAATTATGATCACAAATTAGGATCGAAAGTTGAATATAAAACGTTCATTCAAAAAAAAAAAAAACATACTAATCATAAATAGTTTTGAAATCGGCCAAAGGTGAAAATTCTGATAGACAAGCTCTTCTTGGTACTTGTTATGAAGAAGGCATGGGAACTTCTAAAGATGAAAAGAAGATATTCGAATAGTATCTGATGTCTGCTCAAAATGGAAATCCTAAAGGCAAGTAAAGTTATTACAATAATTTAGGAACTTCTATTGATGAAAAAGAAAGTATACGAATGGTATTTAAAATCTACCGAAAGTGGTGATTTATAATATTGAAATTTGCTACCTTAATAACTGTGGCGTTCCTAAAGATGAAAAAAAGTCAACATCCAACGTTGGCTATTTTCATAATTATCAAGTACACATGTAAGATATTTATTTATTCTTATTTAAAAAAATCTTCTTGTAGCATGCTAATAAGATATCTAACATTACTATTATCAAAATAGAGTTAAGGTTGAAATGTATTAATATAAAACGTTTAAAAATATGCTGGTATGGATCATACTTGTTAGCGTAATCAAATTTGAATTAAAAAAAAATAAGCACGGTTCATCAAAAGGCTACAAAAATGGGTCGTGATTTTATTATCAAGAATCTGTTCTAAAGGTTATTATTGAGAGTTTGATATTTTTATTTTTATAAATAAAAATTTTCATTACATTAATTATAATAATCACTATGTTATTTCATATCTTATATATTAATAAAGTACATAAAATAACAAAAATCCAACCATTTCATAATAATTTTTAAATAATCTGTTCAATCGCTATTAAAATTATAACTGCCATTAACTACAACCACACCAGCAGACCTTTTGTTCAATAGTGGTTAAATTTCCTAATTAAACTATATATTCTTTGGCTTTCAAATATGAAGAGGACCTTTCATAAGAGTCAAATTTCAATATGTTAGCTAATATTCAAGCTTAGAACTGATGAGTATTACCAAGTTAAACCAGAAATAAATATTTAAGTTGTCACCATGGTAAACTTAACCCTGAAAGCTATAAGATTACAAATAAGATCAGTTCGCCGCAATGAAAATTTGAATATTCATTTCCAGGTTTTTAATTTAGCAGCACTTATAACATTTAAAGAAAAATTACTCCTGAAATATAATTTCTCTTTATAGAGTGGCATTAAATTCTGTCGGGTATGCTTCTAATCCTTCAAATTCCTACCGGAGGACGTGAATAAAAATAAAAATACTGAATCAATGACAAAGCGTTCTAATCTTATAATCTGCCAATCATATTCACATCATGTAATATCCCATTTGGGTTATGATATAATTGTAGAATCTAGTAAAAACCTATGGGATTCTACTAAGTCCCAAACTACCAGGTTTGGTTTGTATCATTAATACAAACCAAATTCAGTTGGGTCTCAAAATACTATTTTTAAAACAAAGATAGTATAAAAATATAAAATAACAAAAAGTTTTTATTATTATAAAGTATACTAATTATATTGTAAAATACAAATATTAGCTTAGAAATGAAAACTATATTTTTTAAAATATTAATTATCTAAATTTAAACAATGATCTATGTT